ACTACTACTACTACTACTACTACTACTACTACTACTACTACTACTACTACTACGACTACTACTACAACTACTACTACTACTACTACTACTAATAACTACTACTACTACTACTACTACTACTACTACTACTACTACTACTACTACTACTACTACTACTACTACTACTACTATTACGACTACGACTAATACTACGATTACGATTACTACTACTACTGATGCTGCTGCTCCGACTAGTACTACTATTACTACGACGCCTACTACTACGACGAACTACTACTACTACTACTACTACTACTACTACTACTACTACTACTACTACTACTACTACTACTACTACTACTACTACTACTACTACTACTACTACTACTACTACTACTACTACTACTACTACTACTACTACTACTACTACTACTACTACTACTACTACTACTACTACTACTACTACTACTACTACTACTACTACTACTACTACTACTACTACTACTACTACTACTACTACTACTACTACTACTACTACTACTACTACTACTACTACTACTACTACTACTACTACTACTACTACTACTACTACTACTACTACTACTACTACTACTACTACTACTACTACTACTACTACTACTACTACTACTACTACTACTGCTGCTGCGATTGATCCTAATTAGAATTACGGTCACGTGCGCCACATTACCACGGTTCGACCACGTTGTGGCGAACGTCCTGCGGCTGCCTTATCACCCTACAGCGAGACAAGCGCCAAGCGGGGTGCGAAGAAAGGCGTAGCGCCCACCGCAGATCAACGACGCTGCAGCGTCGCGGCCACGGCACGTCGAGACGATCCTTGCCCAAAACAGCCACGAGGCGCACGGCGCACGGGGCTACCCCAACACCGCCCGACACAGACGTGGCCGCCAGGGCGCATCAAGACGGGCCTGCCCCAAAACACCACAGGACTTTCATCACACGGGGCCACCCCGGCAACGCCCGGCCCCGAAGCTCGGGGGGCCCGCGTGGCAGGAGCCTACAGCGAGGAACGGGGTGGGGCAAGCCAAAATGGCTGGTCACTTAGTTGAGGTACCGAGGGCTGCACGGCAACGCTGCGGACGGCCCGCAACCCACGGGGCGGCCCTAGTGCTACAGAGTAGCACAGGGCACACAAGAGAGGACAACTCATGGGAGCCTGCCATACCATCTTGTTGGCTCTTGCGAATCGACGCTGATCG